TCACCCTCACCTATCATCTGGGGCTGATACAATAGGCCAGAAGTGGCCGCAGTACAAGGGACTTAGTCCCACCCCACTAGCAGTAAAAAAAAATACTGAGCATTCAAGTTCATTTTCTAGTACGAAATATCATAGAGATCTGAAAAAGTCTTGAGCCTGGGCAGAGTAGTCTGTATGAAGACTAAGGTACTGGCTGGAAGACCGATGGATTCGGTTTGCTTTCTTTTTAATGTGTTCTAACGTCAGTATCGAGATTATACAGGGTGTAGCAGGAAGAAAGGTCATAGTATCGGTCATTCTAATCAATAAAGTATATATGCACATGTGTCCTATTCCTAACGGTTTCCGAGATATAGCTATTTCACTGCACTGTTCACTGTACACTGTACAGACAAGCAACACGCCCTGTTCTCACACGAGTTGCAAAGTGCACTGATGTTGACGGTGGAATTTTCGAAAATATATTATACTGATGTCACTTGAACAATGAATGCCGGTATTAGAAACAGTACGTAATATCTCTTATCAACAATTTCGGAACTTTACAGTGAAATAGCTCTATCTCGGAAACCGTTCAGAATAGGACATATATACATACGCGTATACACATTCTTGCTTGGAATGACCGATACTATGACCTCCCGGAATATTGGCCTTTCCTCCTTGAGCATCCTGTATAGTTTCGATGATGACTAATGAATGTGGCACAGCTAGTGGTATGGGAATTGGCAGTGGAAACGGAAATATTTGGAGAAATCCTTCTCCAATGCCCCGTTGTCCACCACATATCTCACATGACGTGACCTAGGATCGAACACGTGCCGCCGACTACCACGCGTGAGCTGAGGGTTCTCTTCTCCGTTGCATCCAGACCGGCCCTAGAGCCCATCCTTTCTCATATCCAGTAGCTACCGGGGTGTTTTCCCCAGAAGTAAAGCTGCCGGTGTGTGAATGTGACCATTCACTTCCATTGCCTTCTTGGTCTGGTGCCTAATTAAGCACAAACACGAATTTACCTTTTACCATTCTGAAAATCTGCAGAATCTGTGAAGACTACGCATATTGTACAGAAGTATCCATAAAGTTCATATCTGTGTTTTGTGCACATCACAAACTGATTTGTCAATCAGTGTCCTTGGATTCGCTGTAGTTGGTCCACTATAACACGTTTTTGTACATTCATTATCTGTTGTGTCCTTTGACAAGAAGTCCTGAGAGCAAATAATCGCCTATTTTCCTTTCATATGGCATGGACCGCATATAAAACAACGCTCCCAACAGTTCAATTGCTGTGTGTTTTTGTTGCCACAGAAACGTGTTCACCGAGCCGTCGCCTAGCAACGGTGGGGGGAATAGACAGTAAAATAATCCCTTAAACCCAGTTTTATTTTTCTAAATACGGAAAGTAGGCTAGAAAAGCCGATCACAGTGGCCGCGCACGAACCGTCTTCACGTGCCCAAACACTGGGATCGTGGGTTCGAACGTCCAAGGATTCCTACCGACCGTGGAAAAGATAAAGAAACTGAATAAAGCGGCCAAGAACCGAAGGGCTGTATAGCCGTAGAGAGAGAGAGAGAGAGAGAGTAGAAAAGTGCAAGTTACTCCTGTTTTCAGNCGTTTACTCTGTGTTCATGTTGTTCTGTGTGTAGGTAGCGGCCTTGTGACGGGCTAGGTCCCCGTCCAAGGAGTCCTACCGACCGTGGAAAAGATAAAGAAACTGAAAAAAGCGGCGAAGGTCCGAAGGGCTATAGAGCCGTAGATAGAGAGAGAGAAAGAGAGTAGAAAAGTGAAAGTTACTCTTGTTTTGAGTAAGTTGCCGTATTTACGCATGTATAGGCCGCACATTTTTTGCCAACAATTCAAGAGGAAAACTGGGGTGCGGCTTATATTCGAAATATTCGAAATCACACTTCAATTAAAAAAAAATATATTCATAATTAGTAATACAGGGTGTAATACTCCTGAAATAATATTCCAAGAAAATTATTTTTTTCTATAATTTCTGTCTGAAAATTGTGCTGCGGCCTGTACACGCACGCGGCTTATACATGCGTAAATACGGTATATAGGGACTTGTGGACACTCTGTGTATGCTACTATACCTGTTGTATGGCACATTCTGGCAGTAGGTATATATGTTGATTATGGGGATAGTAATGGTATCTTGTGGGTTTGGTGAGTCCTGCCGCGGCTGCCGCTGCTCCTCCTGGTATCTTCACAGCCTCCTGAAACACGAAACAATTTGATATCTTGTAATGCGGTTAAGTGACCGGGATTCATAGTCCGTGACTTCATAGAAAGATCACGATACTTCAAAAGCAGTGTCCGTAAGTGTGGATGACATTAGTAAGTGAAAGAATTAACATATCGTCAATTTTTGTGACGCACGTAAGCATGTTTTGCTGTACTGAGTGGAACTGTCTCGTCACCTCCCCCTTCAGTTGGAGTTTACATTTTAATAATTCAATTTAATTCTTCCCCTGACACCAGAACAGTTCCAAATACATGATATAAGAATGACGTGTTCCTTGTGTTAACTAATTAAGCACCGCGCCATGAAAACATATGTGGAGTGGAGGTATAGCTCCACCGTTCTTGACCTCTGCACTAGATGGAGGTGAGCGGTCAGCTTCACGCCCCAACCGCTTTAACCCGATGAAAGAGCCCCGGGTAGCCATTGGTTAGGAGGCTGGGTGGGTCCGGACGCTGTGGAGATGAGAAAAATCAGCCTCCCTGCCGGGAATCGAACCCAGGCCGTCTAAGCCAGTAGTCCGTCGCTATACAGACAGCTATCCCGACTCGTTTTTTTTTTTAATACACTTTATGTGAAGTACTATGTAGAAGAGTGTGGTATTCTGGAGTGTAACGGCGTGTAGTTCTGATTGAAACCGATGTTTCGAAGGAACATACACCTCCATCTTCAGGTTCGAAGAGTATTACAAGGAAGAAGCAGAAGTGGGCGGCAATCTGAGCAGTATATGCCGTTTTGTCGCCTTTCTTGCTCTTCGAGCTCGGAGACAGGCCACATGTTCCGCCGAAACGTTGGGCTCTGTTCGAACTACACTGCATTAGAACCCAGAAGACTCTTAGCTCTTCGCCGTGACACCAATGAGAACCTCAAATCCGTCGTAATTTTGTGTTAATAAGTATATCTGCTTAAAATAATTACATGTTATATGGAATTGGAAAAATGAACTTCAGAATTGTTACGGTCTGTAGTTTCGTTTAACGTGACTAGTGTCACGTGGTGGTAAGATGAGCAGGAACGTATATTTAGTGCATGAAAGACCGGAACATGCAAAGTGTCATTTATCGTTAAACATCGTCCAGTATCACAAAACAGGACATTGTATAATGTCCAGATGGTCAGTAATTGTATTAATATGCCAGTGTCACAAACTTTTAGATGTTATTTATCGTTGTACGGTTCTGTTTTAATTAGAATTCTAGTTATAAATTTCTTATAAACCCAGGAATTAATATAACTTGTCCGAGTTCAAGTCCCGGTATAGTCAAGAATTTTCTCCACATCGTCCAGACTGGCTCTGGGGCCCACCCAGCCTCATATCCAAGCGTTATTGGGGCTTCTTTCCTCGGTGTTAAATCGGCCGGTGCGTGAAGCTGATTATTCACTTCCATCTAGTGAGGTCAAGAAAATAAATTTTCTATACATCCACTCCCCCATAAGTCATCATGGCATAGTGCTTAATTAGTTAAGCACAAGGAAAACTTCACTTTTTTAAGGACGAACAGGTGGACAGGACCTCCACATAAAACGTTCGTCTTCTTAGGAACAATACTGGTTCAGGATAGTGCCCAGTGACAAGCACGTATGAACATGATAATGAACCTTCTGCTTACATAAAAGAGAAACTTTCATGACAGGCTGAGGAACTATCAGCTTCTCAAGATGTACTCCGTGCACGTATGCACAGGCATGTCATAGAGCTTTTGCCGATTGGGCCTAAAGGCGCTGCTGTTTATATCAGCGGGATATTTTGAACACGGTAATGAACCTTAAGGTTTCATAAAACGTGGGAAATGTATGGACTGCGACTTTAACTTTCTGATAACAACTCACTTTCAGGGAAGTGGATAACTTTAATATTAATTCTGTGTGCGTTTTAGTGCCGGCAAATTAGTATCGGAATATCCAAAATTCAGTTACTCCCTGACATAAAGGGAACAACAGGGTCCTGAGGAAAATGTTTAGATCAAAGAGGGATGAAATGATAACAGGCTGGAGAAAACTACGTATATGATGAGGGGCTTCATAACTTGTACTGTTCGCCAAATGTAATTATCAAGTGAAGGAGGATGAGATGGACAGGGCATGTAACATGCGTGGGAGAGGAATGCACACAAGGCCTTTGTGGGAAAGCCGAAGGAAATAGGCCAAGAAACTTAGTTGTACGTGGGCAAATAATATTAAAATGGATCCTAGAGAAATAAGATGGAGTGGTACTGACTGCTGAAGATAGGGACCAGTATAGGGCTCTTGTGGACACAGTAATGAACCTTCCGGTCCCACAAAATATTGGTAAATTCTTGAGAAGCTGGGAGACTGGAGGCTTCTCAAGAAGGGCTCAACGCCATAGAATTTATTAGTTAATCATAATGTGACGTGCTGCCTGAAAGCCGGACTATAAGACATCCATCGCTACGCAACGGGCAATGAGAAAGCATGCTACCTAGGAAACCGCTTGAAGAACAGGAGAACCTAACACTGAGCTAGGATTATCTGAGCAACGAATTGTTTGAGGCAGTAAAAATGTATTCCCACGGCAACAGGAGATTCGTTTTGCACAGCAGCAGGCGAAACCAAACCCTTCGGCAAGGTGTTCCCTATTCAGCCCGAGTGCAGGCTATAAGAGTCATATCCGACGAGAGCTAAGGACAGTTGAGGTCGGAGCGGAGCAGAAGACGCTTCACCGAGACTAGCGGTGCGATAGTGTGTAACATTGAAGAGGGAACGTCCGAAGACGTTATAAGTGCAAATAATTGTATTTGTGAATGTAAAAAGTGACTGTCCAATAAATATATTCGCCAAATCCGAGACCCACACACTTTCTTGTCGCGTTGCCTAGGAAACACGCGACAGTATGTAAAGTTTAGAATTTACACAGTAGAACACATTTCTCGGTAATTGCAAATGTTACATAGTGACTGATGTAGACAAGAGGAATTTTTATTCATCGTATGGACCCATCCCACATGAAATGCCTTTGTCATGAATTCAGTACTGAAATTACTGTAATTTGACGAAGCTGTTTGAAGTTCTTTGTCTAGTATGTAATAAAAATACTTAATCTCTTGTAAAAGTCAGAATTTGTATGTCATCGCACGATGCAGAGGGCACTTCATTCTGCATCCATGTAATCTCGTTCCCTTTCCAGGATGTTCATGATATCATTTAGAGAAAGTCGTTTATATCCGTGACTGTACATTCTGAGCAGATGAGACTACGTTCGTGCGATTTTGCTGTCCGGAGAAGTACTGCAGGACTGTTACATACAGTGTTGTTATCACGACCATACACTTTTATTTATTTATTTGTGGGTTATTTAACGACGCTGCCAGCATCTCAGATTATATGGCAGACGTTTGACGAACTGTGGCTCGCGAGCCGCATACTGCTCGCGAATAAACGAATAGTAAACCTCTCTTTTATAACTGGATTGATTATAAAGAACCTACTGCATGGAAAACATATTTAAAAACTTTGTCGTGTGGTATTCAACACGTGGCGCGTGTGCCATACATGGCATTTTGTGACATAAAAGTGGCACTGATATACTGTGAGGGCACGCGGTAGCGTAGTGAGTTGAGAGGCTATGCTACAAGCTGAAAGGTCGCGGGTTCAGATCGCAATGAGGTCATTGGATTTTTTTTTTTCAATTACCCTAATCCTTCCAGCCGCACTATGGCCCTGGGGTCGACTCAGCCTCTAACAGAAATGAGTACCAGGAATTANTTCTTGGGGAGTAAAGCGCGGCCGGCGCGTAAGGCTGACAACCTTACCGCCATCTTTGAGCCGATTGTCTAGATAATGTGGGATCCTCAACGTCTCACAGCCCTATGGGCCTTCCCGACCTGGTACAGGGATGCCTTTACTTTTTACTTTACTTTACTGAAATACTTTTCAAAACAAATGTATTATTTTAATTTTAAGTATTTTCGTAGTTTGACTTAAAGAAGACATATTACCACACTTGATCCAGTGGTACAAAGTATGTTTGGCCCAAAGAAACAGCGCATGATATGAATGAAGATGAACACCACTGACCTAAGCCACGAAGTCCATGTCCGTTTGCGGCTCTCTAACTTTTGAAAGTTATCATATGCGACGATATGTAGTTAGCTTGGACACCCCTGTTATATTGCTTGTGACTGCAGAATAGTCAGTCAATATTGATTTGATTTGTGGTACTCTGGCCGCCAACTTAACAACAGAAAAAGAAATCAATCTTATTGTTTAAATTGGTTGTATTTAATAACTGATGCATGTTTCGATCCATATTTAGGACCATCCTCAGGCAGTTTCATTAAATACGTCTCACGTTATTGAAATATCCTAATACGGACCCATATTAGTGTTAATCATTATAATCCTATAATATATGTAATTGTCACTAAAATTATAACAAATTTAAAAATTGTCTCCTCGTTACTATGTAAAATTCTATATTGTCTGTTCTCATATTGCAGGCGGTGTTTATCATCCGGGGTTCGCTGTTGTGTTTATATGTTTTTGCTGCTATTCATGCATAATATTAGTTTTTCAAACTTTATGTATGTATTCTTCTTGTCTGACCGCCTCTGTGGTCTGGCTACAGGTTCAGAAGTCCCGGGTTCGATTCCCGGCGCTACCAGATTTTCTGAGAAATAGTAGGTCTGGAACGGGGCCCACTCAGCCTCCTGAGGATAATGAGGTGCTATTTCAAGGAAACAGAGGCTCCGGTCTAGGAAACCGAAATTAACGGCCGTGTGGATTCGTTGAGCTGACCACGCGACACCCTCTATCTCCTAAAGTTGGCACTAACTCCGCCGACAAGCGGCGGTCGCTCGGTCGGTATAGTTTGCTTGCAGACTACAGGCCACGGAGTTTGTTTTTGTTTTGTTTTTATTCTTCTTGTCTTCTTGAATATGACGTTGTGATTGAGTTCTTTCTCTTTAGAGTGTGTTGTGTACTTCGTGTCCTGTGCGTATTTTTTTTTTGTATTCC